TTCGTTCCAACTCTTCTCGGCTGGGCGCCTGCTCACCTTTTGTGGTGGTCCCCTTCACCCACATTCCGAGCAGCCCCTCGTCGTGACCGGGCCCTCCACAGCATACCAACTCGCCAAGTGCGTCGTACGTTTAACGCCTTGATATTGCGGAGAGTAATAGAATTAACAAAAAGTAGAAACAAAACATACAACAGAAGGGATTCGCTGGTGGTCACCCACCCAACTACTAACCTCCCGGCGTGTGGCTTAAGTACGGCTGAGCGGACGGGAAGCCCTGTTTTCCACACCCTATGGTCGTATGTACTAGCACAATATGATATTCAAATGATAAATGACGCATGGAAAGACCGCAAGTAATGAGGAAAGCAGAGGGTGGCCGAGTTTCATTGGTCTTGTTGGGTATGGAGAGACCCTCCATGTCATTGAAGAGTAGGAAGCAATAGATGGATATGGAAGATAAGCAGGGTGGGCCACAGGACAAGCAAATATTTCATTGAAGTCTCGTATCGCTTTGGGGTATCTGTCTTGTGCTCCAGGTGTCCGACTCTGAAGCGATGTGGTTCCATCATGGATAAGGGGGCCATACTTCATTTCATCGTCCGTTTTTAGAAGGATCTTGCCTTTCGGGATAGAGGATTATATATATAGTATTATTTCGCATGTCATCTATCAGTGTGGCTCTAATACATAATGGCCATCATAGGATATAGCTACGACGTAACTACTTATTCGGCCCCTCCTCCACGACGCCTAAATCATCCTTCTCTTCCATCTGGTCTTTCTCCTTCAATCCAAATTCCGACTCCAGCGTCGTGCGCAACTCGACCTCCTTCTCCAACCAAGCAATAATGAAGCCCAACCCGGCAAACACGACCGAGATCTGCCATACGCGCTGCATCGCCCCGGTATACGCCTCGATAATCGCCGGCTGCACATCCTTAGGGAACGTAGACACAAAGTTCCCGGATGCCTGCTCGTACGCCCCACTAGAGTTCAGTATAGCCGCAATACGTGAGTCCTTATCCAGTCCGGCAGCCGCTACACGCGAGGCGAACTGATTATTGAAGATCGCAGCGGGGATAGCGACTCCCCACACGGACCCCAAAGAGCGCAGAAAGGCCCAGGTGGCAGTGGAGGCGGCGACATCTGTCTCAGCTAGTTCAGCCTGAGCGGCAGGGAGAGTGGAAGTGATAACGAAGCCGGATCCGATGCCTGCAAGGAGTTGGAAGCCGGTCCAAGCACCGGTGCTGGAGTTTTTGTCGAGGAGACTAAACAGGCCCATGCCAAGGGCCATAAAAACGAAGCCGGCGATTTGGATGGGCTTGTAGCGTCCGGTCTTCGTGAGGACTACGCCTGCGACAATGGCCGCAGGGACTGTGACGATGACGGTGGGGAGGAGTTGCACGCCGGAGCGGATGGGAGAGCTGCTCTTTACGCCTTGGAAGTAGACAGGCAGGAAGTAGATTGTCCAGTAAAGGAGCATGCCGTGGAGGAATGTGAGGGTGAAGGCCGCCAGGGAGGTCCTATTGGCGAACAGGCGGAGTGGCATAGTGGGTTCGGGGCATAGCTTAGGGGTTGCTTGGATAGCCGGGAAAGCGACCAGAAGGCCGAGCAGGCCGAGGACTAATGGTACAACTACATGCCAGCTTGACCAGGAGTAGGTGGTACCGCCAAAGCTGAGTGCGATCAGGATGGCCACGACCGAAGCGATGAGCAGCCCGTTGCCAAGCCAGTCAATGCGCTTCAGCTTCTGGACCAGTGTGGTGTTCTTCTGATACTTCACCTGGAGGAAGAGAAGCATGAGGCCTATGGCCGCCCCTGCGATTGGCAGACTGATATAGAAAGACCAGCGCCAAGTGACATTCTCGGTGAAAGCGCCTCCGATAAACGGGCCAAGAGACGAGCCCACCGCGAAGACGACGAAGATGAGCGCCATGATCTGCCCCCGCTCGCGCAGCGGTACGAGGTCACAGACAACCTGCAGCGAATCAGAACAGGAGCAAAAAAAGCAAATAAGGGGATGTCAAGCTTCAGGAATCGTACAATATCCACCAGCATGTTGACTCCTCCCAGGCCCACTCCTTGCACAGTGCGTCCGGCAATAAGCATGCCGGAGGATGAAGCGCCCCCGCTGATTCCACTCCCAAGGGCAAAAAAGGCAACGGCGGAAATCAGCGGCCATCGTCGGCCCCAGACATCGGCGAGTTGGCCATAGAGAGGCTGGAAGGCCGTGCTGGAGAGGAAGAAAGCATTGACAAACCAGATATACGACTCTCCGGCGTTCAGGTCCCGAGAGATGGTGGGAAGGGCCGTCGAGGTGACAGTGGACTCAACGGCCGTCAGGAGCGAGGTAACGGCGCAGCCCGCAATAATCAGCCAGAAGCGCCAGCCCCTCGAGGAGGAGGATGAGGGTTGTGCTTCCATGGCTGCGGGAGGATGAGGGAAGGATTGGGAGGCGCAGGCAAACCGTGAACCTTTAAAGCGCGCAGGAAGAAGAAGGCTGAACCAGGATGAGTAGAGATGGGAGTTGAGGTTTCAGCTGAAAGGTTGAACGGGAAAGGGGCTCTGGGCTCCGTTTACTCGGTCCAGATTCTGCCTCGATGCGACGTGTGTATTATACCGTCTGGTATGCACTGGTACCATACAGGTTTTATCAGAAGGAGAAAGGCTATCAGTCGATATTAATGTGTTGGTCTGGAAAATGGTGCCAGCGACACTCGCAGGACGCTAACCCTACAGACCCCGGCTGATAGGTGGGGATGCGCAGGGGATGCGAAGGATGACAACTGCCCAATGGGCCAATTGTCCGTTACTCGGGCCATTTACTAGCGTGGAATATGCAGTGAACAAAGAGAATCCCTGGACAATTTCAAAGAATAATCATGGTTCACATTCCTTCGCTTTGGTGAACTGTTGGAACATCTCACCTTCCTACTTCGGACTTCAGTAGCATCGGCATTGCTCTTCCGGTCTAGTAGTTAGTAGTAGTTGGTAGTGCTATGATAGACCAATGGGAATGCACCGAGAACGATCCGAGACAGGCTATCGATAATGCTAATTTATTTACATTTAGTACACGGAGTTCATGAAAATGGAGATCTCTGTCAAGTGAATTTGCACAATAATCATGGCTGATGCTTATCCCTCCTGCCCTCCTCAAGCTCCAGCGATGGATCAGCAGAGTTCGTCCATGGGCCCGATTCCCCCTCATCCCAAGAACTGTTAGTCAGCTCAGTCACACTATCGAGGCGCTGCGCATGTCTTTGCCCTTTGCCTTGAGCAACCCGACCGTTCGTCGACATCATATACCCATGTGGTTTGAACGGACGGCGGGATTTAGATACCGTGGTTGATTTCTGGACCACGCGCAGCAACGGCGCTGATGCAGGGATACACGCCGTCACCACACCCCAGCAGAGCTGCACACTGTTCCACATATAACTGTCCGTGTCATCCCAAGACAAATCTCCCCCATTCTCTAGCTTCCATGAATAATAGAAACGCACCGCCGAGATGGCTGTCACGAACGCACCCAACGAAAACGTGAATATCACCGCAGCCTTCTTGCGGCACGGCATCTGGAGATTCCAAAGAACAAATACCGGGACCAAGAGCATAACTACTTCGGAGAACAGATCTAGAAGTAGGGGAACGCCCAAATGCAAGCGCTGGGGTTCGCAGTGTCCGTGCAAGGGCTCCGGGGGTTCAAAGCCGAAGATCGGATATACGCGCAACCAGAACATTTGTGGTGGCACGCAGGCGCAAATAAAGGCGACAGTAGATCCGACACCTAGCCCCGTGCAGAAGACAAAGAGGGCCCAGATGGTGTAGCGTAGAGATCTTATGATGGAGTTGAAGGCGCGCTGGTAGAAGAAGAGGATGGAAAGCTTGTTGAACATGAGGGCTGCGGCTTGCAACACGGTTACCACATAGCCCATCTATATATGAAGAGAACAATTAGTTACATGACTAGACATCCCACCTAGGACTGCAGCTAGGGAGAGCATGTTTTCAAAACTCACCTCGAAAATGAACGCTGTTCTCTCGGGGGGATGGGGATCCTCCTTCATAACCCAGTACTGCATGAACTCGTCAGCCCTACTCTCTGCTATGTTAGGCCATTTGGTTCTCGGGTATTGCTAACCTCATGACGACCTAGTCCATTCTTTACAGCAGCAATGGTGCAACTGGACACTGCCAGGGCTAGTATGGATGCAAATATGATAAGGATACTATCTGGTGTGAAGAGACGGCGGATGGTGGCCTGGGCCACGAGACGGACCACAGTAGCAAGCACACAGAAGAACATGCTAATGATGCATGCTGCCAGAACCTCGGGTCCCCGATTCTCACGGGAATGATTGCTCAGAAGCGCATCCATGGCGCTGGTATTGTTCGCCATACTGGTGGAAAGCAAGGCTCCTGTACAAAGTACACGCCAAAGAATCCTTTGGAGAAAGAAACGTGGTTGTGAGAAACTTTGGGAAATAAAACGACCTCTTTCGAGGTCCTTGATAGATTACCTATCAGCCTTCTTTCCTTCCCCTCATCCCGCTTGAGTAAGACTGCGTCTTACATGCATGCTACTGCATGGGGGCCACCGGCTCGCAACAGGTATGTACCTCTAAGAGAGCAGCAGGCGGCAGAGTTGTGTTGCATGTGGCTGGCCTTCTGCCCCAAGAACCAGTAGGTTTTCGCCCATAACATGCAATATACCCGTGGGGGCTGAATGCGCCGCTTGAGGAATGTGAGGGGTTGTCAGCGACTTCATTGCTTGATGACGTCGGGGCAGGCCCGGAGGGGCTCAGTGCTAGATAGCTGCAATGTTGCAAACTAATGTTCCATTCTCCAATAATGGAAGACGGCCAGATGCATTTGACAGTCCTCTGGGGGAATTAGGAGGCGTGACGAGGACCCGTCAGGATTGCAGGAATACGCAGTAAAGTTGGAGTGTATATAACCCAGCCAAGTTCCGACACTATTGCTGCATCACTAGGTGCCAAACATTCATCATAATGCCCGCGATACCTACAACGCAGAGTGCATTGGTGGTGCGGGGGCCCAACTCCCTCCGATGTGTGACCGACACCCCTGTGCCGTCCCTCGCAGGGGACCAGATCCTGGTGCAGACTAGGGCCGTTGCACTCAACCCGTCTGATTGGAAGATGCTCGATGCAGCAGCGGCCACCCCGGGCGCAATTAGTGGCAGCGACTTTGCTGGAGTCATCGTTACATGTGGAGAAGAAGTGCAGAACATGTCAATCGGCGAACGTGTCTGCGGCTTTGTCTTTGGGGCCAGTCCTACAAGCCCGAACAATGGTGCCTTTGCAGATTATATCGTCGCTCACCCGAGTCTCTGCTTTCGAGTGCCTCCGACCATGACTTTTGAAGAGGCTGCTTCTGTGGGTATGGGTCTGATGACTGTAGGACTACTCTTTCGTTCGCTTGGCTTGCAGACAGAGATAAGCCTCAACCCTGATTCAACGAACACAAACAAGCCATTTGTCCTCGTATACGGAGGCTCAACAGCGACCGGCACGCTGGCCATTCAGATGCTTCGACTCCATGGCTACCAGCCGATCACGACGTGCTCACCGCGGCATTTCCCGCTCGTAAAGCAGCGGGGGGCCACGGCAGCCTTTGACTACGCCTCACGCACTTGCAAGGAAGACATCCGTGCTTACACGAAGGGTACACTGGCGTTTGCTATGGACTGTATTGCCGACTCTCATGCCACAACGGTGTGCTATGGCGCTATTGGTGGGGATGGGGGCCGATATTGCGCATTAGACCGATATCCCCCTCGGCTGGAGGGTCGCCGGCAGGATATCCAACCAGAGTGGATTCACAGCGCCACTATTTTTGGGGAGGATGTCCAGCTAGCAGGGTCTTATCATCGCACTGCACGGCCTGAAGATCGCCAATTTGCTATTGAGTGGGTACGTCATTGCACCCACATTTTGGCACGGGGGGAATTGCAGACCCATCCACTGCAAGTGCAGAAAGGGGGTTTGCCGCGAATTGTTGGCGATTTGCCTCTGCTCCGGAGTAAGCAGATTTCGGGCCGCAAATTGGTCTATCCTGTGGGAAGCGCATAGGCGATACGGCGGTAAATACTCCGTCGAAGCACACCAGGGCAGGAGTGGAAGTTCGACCGAAGAATACGAGTGGTCATCAATGTCCAGTAATGTTTGTTGAGCACGTTTCTGTCTTGGCTGGCAAAGAAGGCGCAAAAGAGGTTTTGTGGTTTGCTGTTGGACGACACGCGTGACTGATCAGGGCGGTTTGATTTGTGCCTTAATCTGTTCCTTTAACATTATCACTTATGGTAACTGTTTACTTGGCTTGTGACTGGTTAATTAGATTTTCACAAGGATTCCGCAGAGCGAGAATAGCGAATCATGCCCCGAGCTAAGTGCTAGTGCTTACCTCTTTGGCGGCATCATCGAGCTAGGGCTGCAAGTTCTGGTGGCTTCGTAAGTCTAGGCTTCTGTTAATCACAGAGACATGTCTTCAACGCGCAGTGATGGATCCACTCGGTCTTCTTCTTCCAATTACATTCAATCAACATCCCATGAAGTCTCCACTTGAATGCTGACTGACAGTTCGGCATTAACAAGGGCCCAACTCCGCGTGGTTAAAAAGTGTCTAAAACTCACTAAATTAGCATGATGCATCGTGTCAGCGCTAAACCCAAAAGAGGAGCCCAATGAGTGCATTCTTATCACCAACGATGATTCGATTAATCAGTACAGCAGAAGGCGATAGAAAAGGGATAAAATGCATATTAATTCCATTGAGTTATAGACAGGCACCACTTACTCCACACTGATGTATTTTCCGAACAGGATAAGCTGCAACCCCAGCTCCTCACTTTACGCAGCCTATGGCCCAGCTAGTCCCACAAATAGTACAAACCACACACGTATCTTATTGGTGGAGCTAACTACTACAGTAGGTATTTGATGCTATCTTCTCTGTTTCCCTTTTAGATGCGGATGCCCTCGGGAGCCGAAGTGGGCTTGCTATCATGGCCAAGGCTAGTGAGCTCCTCAAATGTACCATAGTCGGCCTCGACCACCTTGCCATCCTCCACGAACACCTCCTCCCACCCCGCAGTCAACTTGGCGCGAGTCTGGTCACAGATCTCGTCCTCGCCAGCCACGAGGCTCTGGAAGTCTGGGTCTGTCACAATCGCCTGTGCTGTCTCCGCATTCGGCACGTACACACACACCATGATGTCGTGATCTTCGATCTCCCAGCCTGGACGTACGGCCCAAGGGATCTTCTCAGTGATAAGCCTCTTGCTGGCGCTTGGAGTGTGGTACTGCTCGGAATTTCCTTGGTCAGCTTATCTGCTTCAATAAACATTTTTTGAAAGAGGACCCCGGCGGGGGCTTGGCAATGGGTAGTATAACAAACCTGGCACACTTTGATGGCGCCATGGCGAGCCTGTACGATGGCTGCCTTAGGAGCATGCGACTTGCTGGCGTATTCGTGGAATTCTTTCTCAGAGATCCCCTCCTTCTTGTAGCGGAAGGAGGTCAACTTGAGGACCATTTGCTTCTGGGGAGCCATGATGACGAGGGAAGAAGTAGAGTAATGAAGTGGTTCAACTATGTAGAATGTAATGAAATAGATAGAAGTGTTGTTGATGTTGTCAAAGTAAAGTCGTTGTGAGGGCGCGTTCTCAACGCTATATATAGTTCTGTCCTCTGGTTCACAGCCCCCAAAACAATGAATAGGGCAGTATCATCCCACCTGAGGGGTTATCTTCCGTTAAGCCACCACTTGGCTCGAGGCAATCATGGTGTGACATTCCAATGTACCCATTTGGAGATTTTGGGGCCAATTCCAGATATGAGCTCCGTTTTGCCTAACCACTGCGTTCACAGCAACGTCGGGGACCTGGTGAGGAACATCAGAGGAATTCCCGATCTCCCTCGTGTTGATCATCGTCACAACTAAAGTCTTACCTATGTCAGTGCTAAAATCTTATATACAGTAGTCTCATCGGTCTCACTGCCTAGATGGTCGAGTGACAGGGTGGGGCTGCATGCCAATACTACGCTCCTTTCAGCTTCTATGTGTATCCGACGAGGCGTAACGGTCCGGGGCAAGGAAAGATGGACATGGTCATAACAGGTACGAAACATGACAGAATGGGGGCTGTGAGGTTTTAGTATGATTGGTCTGAACTAAATATTCGTCTAAGTGGGTCATTATTTCGCTCAGTATACTGCCTCAATCGCCCTGTACTAGCCGCCTGTACGGAGTGCTTGGAGCTATCTCCCCGAATCAAGCTATTAGCGAGGTTAGCCTCGTAGATAATATCAAATTGCACTGCCTACCAATATTGGCGGACAAGTCGGAACCTGCCTTATTGGGAGAGGCTCCGCGGATTATCACAGGCGAGGTACGTTGGCTCCGGAGTCCGTCAACACTACAAGGGTAGAATGAGTTCCTCCACATACCCCCGCTCACAGTGTTTGGAGATGTGAGGGGCTTGGAGTTGTGTAGCCCGTGCGTTTTTGTACATTATCTTTCTCGCTGGTTCCAGTGGATTGATTGACTTTGCAACCGGGGACATCATGGCACCAGAAAGAGAGCCTATTGCCATCATTGGGAGCGCATCGCGCTTTCCCGGAAACGCTACCAGCCCACAGAAGCTCTGGGATCTTCTCATACATCCCAGAAATGTGGGAAAGGTGATTCCTGGGGACCGATTCTCCGTGGATGGGTTTTGGAACGCAGACGGGTCTCATCATGGCACGTCCAATGTCACACAATCCTACTTCATCGAAGACGATACCCGTCATTTTGATGCGAACTTCTTTAATATCAATCCCAGAGAAGCGGCGGCCATCGATCCTCAGCATCGCCTACTGCTCGAAGTCACCTATGAGGCTCTAGAGAGTGCAGGTCTCTCGATTGACATTCTCCGAGGGACTCCCACAGGGGTGTACGTGGGCCTTATGTGTGCCGATTATCTCGACGTCCAGTTAAGGGATCCGGAGGCCCTCGCGCAGTATCATGCCACAGGTACAGCACGCAGCATTCTGTCCAATCGGGTGTCTTACTTCTACGACTGGAAAGGGCCCTCGGTAACTGTCGACACCGCGTGTTCTTCTAGTCTCGTGGCTGTCCACCAAGCAGTGCAAGCCCTGCGCCAAGGAGAGTGCTCCACGGCTATGGCAGCGGGTGTTAATCTTATTTTTGGTCCTGAGATGTACATTGCCGAGTCGAATCTGCGCATGCTGTCGCCAACAGGCAAGTCCCGCATGTGGGATGCCAGTGCCGATGGGTATGCTCGTGGTGAAGGTGTCGGGGTAGTGATCCTCAAGAGGCTCGGTGATGCCCTCCGCGACGGGGATCCCATTGAGTCTGTGATCCGGGAAACGGCAGTGAATTCAGATGGACGCACGAACGGACTTACCATGCCATCCTCGGCCAGTCAGGCTGATTTGATTCGTCAGACCTACCGACGTGCTGGACTTGACCCTACCCAGGCATCTGATCGGTATGTTACACACTCATCACTTGTCTCCCATTTGCTGATTTATCCTGTCCAGGTGCCAGTACTTTGAGGCTCACGGAACGGGGACGCCCGTCGGCGACCCCCTTGAAGCCGAGGCCATCCATTCAGCGTTCTTCCCCGAATCCAATGATGGCTGTCAGGTGCAAGAGAGCCAGCTGTATGTGGGGTCCATTAAGACAGTTGTCGGCCACACAGAGGGGGCTGCTGGAATTGCAGGCTTGCTCAAGGCATCCTTGGCCCTGCAGCATGAGATCATCCCACCGAACCTACATTTCAAGCGGCTAAATCCCAACATTGTACCCTTCTATGACGGTCTTCATGTCCCCACCAAACCGATTCCATGGCCACCGGCGCGGGTTCGCCGTGCTTCAGTTAACAGCTTCGGTTTTGGGGGAACTAATGCACACTGTGTAAGCCACCATGTCTCTTCCGATGATCTGGTCGCTAATGCCAATAACAGATTCTCGAACACTATGCCCCTTCCGTTCATGGGGGGGCAAAAGAAGGCTCCGAAAAACCAGTGAATGAGCCGGCGGTTGAAAGCCCGCTTATTAGCCTGCCATTCTCCGCCTCATCCCAATCGTCCTTGGCCCGCTTGATACAGCAATATGCTGGCTTCATCGCCACCCACCCCTCAGTCGACATGCAAGCAGTATCCTTGGCGCTACAGAAACGCTCGAATCTCCCTTTCAAGCACTATGTGACTGGTCTTTCCCACAACTCAATTCTACAGCAGTTGCAAGACCCTCAGTGGAAGCCCGGGCCTTCCGGTGGAGGTGCTGAGGCCCACAATTCCGCGATCCTCGGAGTCTTTACGGGTCAGGGGGCGCAATGGCCCACCATGGGTCGTGAGCTGCTGCTTCGGCCCGGTCCGTTCACGGCGACCATTGATCGCCTCGATGATATGCTCCAGCAGCTGCCAGAGCCTCCTACATGGTCTTTACGGCAAGAGATCCTCGCTGCTCCGGACACATCTAGGTGTCAGCAGTCAACGTATGCCCAGCCACTGACTACCGCTGTTCAAGTAGCCCTCGTCGACCTGCTCTACAGTGTTGGCATTCGCTTCTCCGTGGTGGTTGGACATAGCAGTGGTGAAATAGGTGCCGTAAGTTGGTCCACTGCCATCGTGACAATCCCAGATCCAATCTGACTTAACCGCCTTGTAGGCCTACGCAGCAGGCTGCATCACGGCGGAAGCTGCTATTACAATTGCCTACTATCGCGGCCTCTACTCACCGCGTGCAGACCCTGGGGAGGGCGGGCCTAAGCGGTCAATGATGGCCGTGGGGATGGGATTTAATGAAGCCACCCGCTTCTGCACCCAACCTGAGTATGCTGGGAAGATTTTTCCGGCTGCGAGCAACGCGCCCTCCTCGACCACGCTGGCGGGAGACTTGTTCACTTTGGAGGTTGCCAGAGACGAGTTGACCCGCCAACAGAAGTTCGCTCGCATACTTCGGGTCGATAAGGCCTACCATTCGCCTTTCATGGAGCCGTGTGCAGAGCCTTACATGCAAGCTCTCCAGGCGCGCAACTTTGCATACCGCACCTCTGGCCCGTCTTGTACCTGGATATCCTCTGTCCATGGCTTCGAAATGGATTGCAGCTCGGATTGCGTGAACGACAGCTACTGGCTAAAGAATCTTCTTCAACCGGTCCTGTTTTCGGATGCTTTATCACAGGCCATCCGAGACCATGGTCCCTTTAATTGCGTGATTGAGGTTGGTCCTCATCCAGTGTTGGCTGGTCCAGCCGGACAGACCTTCAAGGCGCTCCAGCAGAACGTACCTACCTACCTAGGTGCGCTGACTCGTGGAGAAAATGATGTTCTTCGTCTGAGTAGGTGTCTTGGTGAGGTATGGAAGCTCTGCGGTCCATCCTCTGTCAATCTCCGGGTATTCCAGAGCCTCATCAATGGAGGAGACGGCACCCTGCCAGCGATGCTCCCTAAGGTCCTTCCAAGCTATCCGTGGGATCACGAGCGACCGTACTGGCGGGAGTCGCGCGCTTCGAAAGAATATCGCACCCGGGCACCTTCTCATGAGCTGCTCGGCGTCTGCGTGGAGCAATCTGAGCAATTCTGGCGTTGGCGAAATATCCTGCAACCCCGGGAGATCCCATGGCTGCAAGGCCACGAATTCCAAGGTGAGATGCTATTCCCAGCTGCAGGATATTGCATAATGGCCATGGAAGCAGCTTTGCGCTTCTCCTACCCACAGCCCGTACGTCTCCTGGAGCTGCATGATCTGGATATCCGTCGCGGGATCAGCATCGATGGAAGCGCCGACGGTATAGAACTCCATTGCCAGCTCGGCCCGAATTTCACACGAGAGTCAGAGAAGTCGTCAGTCTTGGAAGTTGTCAATCTCAGCTTTATCTGCACCGCTGGTCACGTCGATGGCTCCGATGCATTGACAACTAGATTCACCACCCGCGTACGACTAGAAATGGGAAGTCCTGACCTCACTGTTCTGCCCAGAAAGCAGCAACAGACTTCGGGTAACTCCCCTGTAGACATCGAACGCTTTTATGGGTCCATGTCCCAGCTGGGCTTAGATTATACTGGCCCGTTTCATTCTCTGCTAGCCAGCGAGCGGAGGCTGTTCCAAGCGTCGGCAACGGTGGCCCACGTGCCATCTTCTTCCTCCTTCATGCACCCGGGTGTCTTGGATACATACTTTCAAACCCTTTTCGTGGCCTTTGCATCTCCGGATGATGAGTATGTCCTACCAAACCTACATTACCCTCCTATTGTACTTACTTACACCCTTTGTAGGAGCCTTCGGACACCTCATTTGCCAAGGGAAATCCAATCTATACGATTCAACCCAGCAGCCATCGCCCACACGGATCATTCTAGGGGCTCTCCGTTCCAGGTCGAATCTTATGTCACAAAGGCTACGACTCCCACTCGGACAATCCCGTCAGACATGGTGGGTGACATTGATGTCTATACTACAGCCGGTGATTGTGTAATGCAAATTGAGTCGCTGCGGTGTGTTGCGCTAGCAGTCACTACTGAGAAGGACGACCGTGCTATGTTCCACCGCACTCACTGGGAGATTGACATCGATGCAGGAATGGTCGTCTCCTTCGATAAGCC